GAGCACCGTATTGATGGTGGATTGCTGAACATCCGTCGTTTCGGTGCGAGAACCGTAGTCTATGAGACAATTATCCGTATGTTACTGTTTGCTGACGACTGTGCGTTGTTTGCGCAGAGTGCGGATGAGTTGCAGCACATGACTAGTGCTCTGGTTTCGACAGCAGCCGAATTCGGGTTCACCATCAACACAAGCAAGGCTGTCCTTTCCAGCCTTCACCAAGAATGGGGTCCGTGGGCCTGCCCCAAATCCAGATTGTCGACGAAGTGTTGGAAACCACTTCGAGATTTTTCTAACTTGATAGGGTAATAACAACCGACCAGCAGATAACGAGCGAGCTGCACAGCCGCGTATCGAAGGCGGCTGCTGCTTTTGGCAAACTGGAATGCCGTGTGTGGAACAACCATCAGCTCACTGTTGGGACGAAGCTGCTAGTATATAAGTCTATGGAGCTGTCCGTTCTTCTATATGGCAGTGAAACCTGGACGCTTTATCGGAAGGATGTCCGATATCTGGAACGCTTCCATCAGCAGTGTCTGTGCCGTATTATGCGCATCGGCTGGAATGACCGAGTTGCAGACACGGAGGTGCTCCGATGCAGTCCACTGCATAATTCTGCTGAGGCACCTGAAGTTACTCGGGCCTATTCGCCGCACTGATTCGACCCGGATACCGAAATAGCTGCTTTATGGTCAACTGAGTGCAGGGAAACGACACGTTGGAGAACCAAAGTTAAGTTACCAGGACACGGTCAAAGTGAGCCTATCATTTTCCAATATTGATTGCAGGTCATGGGAATCGAAGGCGGTTGATCGACGTGCATGGCGCGATCTACACACGAAGGCAGTTGTCGAGGTGCAGGAGAAAGACCTCATGCATGTTGGGAAGAAGCGGCGATTGCGGAAGCGACAGGCGCCGGTGGTGGGTACTCTATCGATGTTGAGCGCATGGTGCTGTAGCACATGCGGTCGCGAGTGCCTGAGTCAGGCAGGCCTACTGGGACACGAGCGAGGCTACTCAGGACCAGGATCGAAACGATGACGAGTCCTGCTGAGAATGTAGGTAGAACCGGCGAAGCGTTTGCAGGCATGCTGCATTTGGTTTACCAACGGTGTGCTTGCGTGCTGAGTTCCTTTATTTCAGGTGGCAGGTTTGCCACCTTACTGTTATTTTGTTATTTCATTTAAATGTGTACCTGAATAACCTACTAAATGTCATATTACGCTTAAACTAAAGGTGGTTAACTTCGCTTATTTTTTCTTCGTACATATGTGTCTTGATCCGTTTTCTGCCATCCTGAATCTATCAAGGCTATTTTGCGAATCCATTTATTCCATACGCTAATTTAGCAGCATATCCGTACGGTGTATTCGATCTATTTTATTCGACATTTCATTTCATGGGATTGACTGTTGCTTGACATCCCCGGTGTGGCTGCGCTTGATGTGCATGTTGACAAGGTGCCTACCTGCCTATTACCCACTACCTCGTCCATACTGGCTCCAGGAGACAGTTGGTCGTAGCTGGAGGGGACGGGGTGCACGGTCCTTGTGGTCGTGCTAGCCTCGAAGAGTGGTTCCATGCACTCACTGTGGAGCGGACTACGGTCCAGCCACCGCTTTGTGTGCGATTGATTGCCAAATACATCGTGATTGTGTTTGCCTGTGAAGGAGTGTAGGCCGGCTCCGTTGATGAAACGTGGCTCCCACTCACATGCCTCCCGGTCTTATTCCTTCGGGTTTACACTGGATATGGGGTGTGTGGATGGAGCTGTGGGTGGTGCAGCGCAAGCTACCCATGGTCCCTCTGTAGGCGCAGACTTCCTGTGGCTGTTCCATAGACGCCGCATTGACAGGCAAATTTGGAACCGGTTGCCGCCAACCAGATATTTAAAATTGAAATGTTTTCATTATGTTCTGAATGGGGTGAAAAGCCTTGGAATTCGCTGTGGATTCAGCTAGGCTCTCGCTTGCGCAAACGCGTAATGGCGGAGGCCACAGTGACACGCGAATCCGGAAATGGATGCCTCCAAGCTTATATATATATATATATATATATATATATATATATATATATATATATATATTATATATATATATATATATATATATATATATATATATATATATATATATATACTTGAGATCGCCTACTTCATGCTCGTTTTCGACGTCAATGGTTGTTCGCCACGGCACTCTTTCTAATCGATTCCGGGAAGCGTAAATAGTAACGACGAAGCCAAGCAGAGAATCTGGGCAATGCACTACACCTGGAAATGAGCTGAATGGAACGCACAATGTGAAGTCGGTTGGTAGAAGGCTAGACAAAGTATAGGTGAGCGATATAGCCAATCAGGAAGGAGAGACGGTCAGGAATTTGTAAATCACTTGTGAAGATGTGGTAAATGCATCCTTGATTCAACTGAAACCTGTCCTACTTTTTGCGAATCTGGTCTTCAAGGGTGTCATTCACTCTGTGAAGTACTATACAGGCAAGTAGTTTAGGGGCCATAAAGATCAGACCGATTTTCTATGGATGGTGTATTACGGATTTGACTAGTCTTTGAAGGTCTGGACTATAACGGAACAACTAGAGTCTGCTGGGACAGTTTCCTGATTCCGCAGTTCCACCACACACACACAGTATACAAGTTAGCTAGAGGTGGGAAACACCTCAGCTACTGTGCCGCAATACCTAAAAGAAAAAGAGGGAATAAAGTGCAACAGGTGCCAGCCAGCTGAGCTACCGCTAACGGATGGGCACCGTTCCGGTAATCTACCTGCCGGCTACTATGTAGCAGAAAAAAAATAATTTACTATGCGAAATTATAAATTGCTAAATAATGAGATCGTGGTTGGAGGGGGAGGCTAAGAGAGATGGGGTGGGACAAAGAAACTCACAGCACGAACGCCACTGAGGTCGGCTCCTAGCCATATTAACAAGTGTATCCAGCCAAACGTGTTCATCGTCTTTCGGACCCCAACCAGGGAGCCGAGACGCTCCAACCGAGGCCAGCTTCGAAGTGAGGTCCTTCATTCCTCTCGACCAAGTCATCGCTTGGCCACCCCTCCTCTTCTTCCATCCACACCCCCGGCGCGCAAACAACGCATGTCGCGAGAGTCGGTGAGCTGGCACGTGACTGAGCCATCGGAGCCTGGTGCGTGAAATAACCGTGCTTGGCGGTTCATTTTCTTTTCCTGTGCCGTAAACAAGGCGTCGAACACGCTCGTTGCTCACGCGATGTTCCCACCAGATGTGAGCTAAATTGCGAAGGCACCGATGGTCGAACGTAACTAGCCTCTTTATGTCCGCTGATCTAAGGTTTCATAAAAAACATTTACAAAAGCAGATTCCACGAAGCTGAAGTCGATCTGGTTTTGCAGTAGGAACAGCTTCGACTTATGTGTGAGAAGAGGGATCCGAGAAGACGGTGCACGGGGCATTGCGATCTTTTGTCGACAAAGAAGCCAGATCATCGGCCGATTCAATCACTTTCTAGTGTTCAGCTAAAGGCCCTAATCGTTTTGACAATATGTGTACAGGTTGTTCCCCTGAAGAATTTGGTTTCGCTACTACCAGGTCTTCTGATGTCTCTATCTTTTATCACGCTGAATAATTTTCGATGGCAATCAAGAGCCACGGCAGGTTTCATCTTCCGTGCTAGATGAGACCATCAGACTCAGCCGTCTCTTTAGACTAGCATGCGAGTCCTATACTGATCGCTTCCATCCGGAACGTGTCGACAAGCATCGAGGAGTTCCAAAGACTGCGTAGTGACACATTATGTACTCTGGCAATCGCATCTTTTGTTTGTAATTCTTGTTGAAGATGCGATCAGTGACTGTGTTCACTGAGTATTTATTCAGCCCAGCGTTTTGATACGCATTCAGAATAGGCGGTTTCATCAGTTGGTGAGTGTCTATGTGCTCAAAGCGCCGTTGCGGGAGTCTGTCTAAACGCAGCCATAGATCGACACATAAATGCATGGAGTCTATATTCATGCTCCAGACCGAGCAGCAGTTTTAACGCAATGTAATCCATTTGCGTCTATGACTGGTCTGATGTTGCTAGGCGCCCAACATTGCGATGGGTGCAATGTCGAAAGTTAGTGCTCACAAGAAGTAGACGAGCATCTTTACACAAATGTAGCGACCTCGCAACGCTTCACTGCGGGAATCTACACTGTGTTGGCTGCTCAGGTGGAGCTCATCGTGAAGCAATTTTCCAACTTGAGCATTCATGTCACAAATCGGTGCTACTTCATCTGGAAATCTTCTGTGAAGGGCCTCATTTAATTGAGGTTGAAATTCATTTTTCATGAAGTCATCACTACAGTCTATGGGGGCATAGGTAGCAATGCAGCTTATCGCCAAGCAACCTCGACGCTTTGAACGAATAACCAGTAGACAGTCCAGATGAGCAAGTCGATTCGCCGAACCGAACAACACCATCAATTAAGCGTAAGAAGTAAAAAAAGGGGTCAGAATTGTTCAGATGACATTTTGACTGATATACCGAGTGGGTTACTTACAAACTGAGTTATGAGCAGATTGAGTACTAGATCGACTTGAAAGTATCTATGGCAAGACATTACGATTGCAAAGAGTATTAAAACAGAACAAATAGTTGAAATTTTGTCTCGATGTAAATAGCAGTGTTGCGTCGTTATTGTTTTAAGTGGACGGCAGCGTCTCATAGGATTAAGCAGGCCACCATACCAGTGCAACAAAGGCATCAGCAGTAGGCTGGCACACTGTGCCGACGCTTCGTTGACATGTGACAAGCACCAGTCGCGCGTGCGCTATGTATACGGCTAGGTTAACCACAACTACGCGAATTCGAACCGGTGACCTCCGGATTACAAAGCAGGGGTGTAATCCGGTCGCCGGTCGACTACGCCAGTGCGACAGACCACAAAAGTCCGCATCGAAGGAATGGCTGGAAATCGATATGGAGCTCGGGATAATAAACATGAGTGCCTGGTTAATGAGTGAACCTACCGTAACAGTGATCGCCACAGTCTCCGATTCGATGGGCGTATCGTCAGCAATCTCCTGGCAACGTTCCAATGCGATCAAATCCTTTTCTGTTTCTGTGGTAATATAAACCGTCCCGGTCATCAGGTTGGCTATACTCAAAGCATAGGACGCTGAGAGAGCAGCGGTGGCAATCTGTGAACGACAGAGGAGGAGCACATGATGAGTGGACGGATTTAATATAAAAATGATTGGGAATCGAGGAATATTTTGAGCAAACATACATGATTTAGTCCCACTAACCAACCACGATTTGAGCAGAGTGCAGTGAACTCAAATGAGTTGGCTCGCATTGTCACGATAATAAGTATAAAGGACGAAAAACAGCAAGATCAAACTGAAGCAAGTAGGAAAACGGAAGGGAACGCAAGCAACGGCGAGACGCACGTCCGATTGCGTCCAATCGTTGACTCACATTGTTGACTGATGCAGCAGTCAAAAAACTGGAAATGTTAACAACCAAAACAAAGATCGAGATCCTGATTCCGGAACGTTGCTCATCTATTGATGGTTTGATCAACAAAGGGATCGATTGCGTCACAAACCTCTCACAAACTTATCGGGCTCTTTTGTTTAAATTGCAGGTGTGATGCGAAGGTGGTTCAGTCATAGGCTAATGTCCTTTGCGTCAAGAGTAAGAGACATCCTAGGGAAAAATATGGGTTGTCTTTGACAGTTGAGCTTCGTTGTCAAACCGTCAGCGATATGCGCCGACGGACAAGATGCCCGCGATGATTACCAGAGAATTAATGGTTTGATAAATTGTCCTACATCATTTGAGCATCACATTTCCAAAAGCGAAGACTACGATGGAGCCCAGTGAGAACCTTTATTCGCAAGATAAGTCTGCCCAATAATCTGGGGCTGATGCAAACAGTTAAAGTGCTCCTTAGAAAGCAAAGCGCTAGATCACGTCTAAGAAAATCGATTTATTAAGAACCCTGGTAAAAACGATCGGCTAAATCGGGTTCGATCAATAGCAATGATTTTTTTCGCCACAAGTATTTAATTCCAAGTGAGGAAGAGATTAAAGTAATGCACGGAAAACTATCTCAAGGCTGGATACTATTGGCTGCAAAACCCCACGCAGTGAAAAGAGGATCGAACGCAAACTAAAATTGCCATGAGATTTTGGAAATACAGTTACCGTGCACGAATTCGCGTAGACTACCAGCCGATAGCCTACGACAGTGGTATCCTGGCGTGTAGTTAGCCATATGCACCACGCGCAAAACAAAGATGAAAGTGGACAACCAAAACATTTTGTCACCAAGTCAGGTGGTGACTACGTGATCAACACCATTGCAACCAGTTCCATTTTGGCAGTCAAAACAAGAACAATCTTGGGTGTAAAACTATACTAGGAATCAAAGAGGTCAATAAAAGTCATTATCCGGCTATCAGGGGGCCAAATGATCGAAAGTAAGCACTGCTCACCATTTCGAGAAGGTACGTAAAAAGTCCAAACGCTACTTGCGCACAGTTGACCAAGTTACCCATTTACTGAGGTATGTCGTACGTGGGCAATTGGACTGAAACTGGTGCCCGCGTTGACACCACAGAGAAGACAAATTGGTACAGTGTGGCGGAGTGACTGCGGTAAGGGCATGCAAAGAAACCACGGTTCGTATACTCATCTAAGGGTGAACGTGGTAGGGATAGGATGTTCACGGTATATATATATATATATATATATATATATATATATATATATCGTATATTTCTCTTGATGTGAGAAACTGTGTCTATAGTGGCACAGAACAAGTCTATAAAATAGACATCAAGCCATTCAAAACTAAGGAATTTGGAATAGAGAATAATGAGACGTACAAAACATGCAAACGAATTTGATAATGAATAAAGAAACGGAACAATAATTCTTTTGTGGTTTTACACATGTCATTTTGTAGTTTCTTGCGGATTTTAAGAGTTCGTGTTTTTGTAAACGTGAAATCCGGCAGACCTGCGCGCAATGCTTCTAATTCGACCGGTTTTGCGCTATTGCTTCCAGTATTGTGAGTCATTGGCCGTCTTCATCATTGGGTCTCCAGCCGGGAGTCGAACGGGGTCAGCGATGGCCAGGCAAGATGTCATCGATTTCAGCAATTGTCGCCAGGTGGACGGTGGACCTCTACGCGGCCTTTTCCAGAATAACCCAGCGTGCGCAAACAGGGCGCGGCGTAGCAGACGCTCGTTAAGCGTGCGCAGGACGTGGCTAAGCAGCCCCAATTGACGCAGCCGGACGACATCACAAAGTGGAACATCCGTCATACCGGTGTCTAACGTCATCATTACACACTCGGTGTTGCCAACGCACGCAGGCAATCCTCCGCAAACCGCTACTGTCGAAAGACGAGCATGTCTTCCACACGAATCGGTCAGGATTTGCATCCGCACAGCAATGTCGCGCATACAAAGGCTTTGTAAGTCCTGCGCTTTAGCGAGTGAAATTTCACGACGGCACCACAAATGTTGTAAGTTGGCAAACGATGACCGAGCTTTAGCGGTTCGAAGGGATACCTCTGCTCTAATGCTGCCGTCTGCAGAGACGCAGCTCCCTATCTACATGTTCGAGCTGTGTGCCTTCGATAGTGAATTGAGGAAAGAGTGCCTGTCAGTCCTGTAGAAAAACTTTGCACTTGGAGGGAGCAAAGCACATACCAAACTTAGGTGCTTCAATTAGCAGTCGACCAATGAACGATTGCATCGCATGGGAGTCGTCACCGAGTTGGGTGATATCATCAGCGTAATCTAACTCGTTTGCATGAGTACCTGGAAGGAGCTCAATTCCAGAATTTTGAAAGCCCTCTAAAGCTCCGAACAGGACATAATGGATCGCAAATTTGAATAGAAACGGTGACATTGAGCACCCTTGTCGCACATCACTGGTGACAGGGAAGACGGTGGGGAACTTTCCATAGGCTCCTACTAGTCCTGAAATGTGGAGGTATAGCGCGTGAAGTAAGGCGACGTACTTTTCCAGAACTCCATTCTTCAGCAGGCAGTTCCATAAAGCAGGTCAATCTAGCGAGTCGAACGCAGCCCGAATATCCAGAAAAGTGACAATGGTGGGTCTGCGGTAGAGGTGACGATGCTCCAGCAGTTGGGGAAGAGTGAAAATTTGATCCACGCAACCTCGAGCGAGGGGAAAAGCATCCTGCTCCTCCAGGTTGTGTGACTCACGAGTGGGGGATAACCTGCGGAGCATGATGGGTGTTAGCAGCTTGGAGGCAACAAATATCAGACTAATGCCCCTGTAATTGGCACACGATGTGTGAGAACTTTTCTTGAAAACTGGAACAAGGATTGACCCCCCAGAAAGAGGAGATCCTTTCATGCTGCCAGAGCTTCGAAAACAGGGATGTTGGCTGCTTGACAACTGCTGTGCCGCCGTATTTGAACAACTCTGGGAGTCGGCCGGATTGAAGCACTTCAAGTGACGAATCTCAAGATAAACCTCCGCTTCGGTTGGTGGTTCGAGTGGCACTGATCATGGCATGCAACTGGGTGTACTGAGTGTAAAGGTGGATGGCGAACAACAACCGAACTGAAATTGGAAGTGCTCAGCCCATCTGTCCATGCGTCTCTGCAAAGTAGTGATTTGTGACCCGTCCGCCTCACAGACGAACTCGCTGATACCAGACCTTCTGTGTCCAATGGTCCGAATGAGCTGAAACAGCTTACGAGTGTTTCCAGTGAGGGTGGCAACCTCCATCTCCAAGGCGCGTTGGGACCACTAAACTTTCCGATTCCTGCGAAGGTTTCGTTTGAGTTGTTTGCTGATAATTCGGCGAACTTCATTCTGGTCTGGGTCTACTGAGAGAGTTCGGTGGCGGTCGAACAGTGCCAGGGATCGCGCCGATATTCAACCCTTCAATAAGTGATGTGATAATCCACAGACCGATTGAGTTGAAGTTAACATTGCTTGCTGCAAGAACTTCCAGTGGTGTTCAATATCAGTGGGCGGGACACAGACTAGTGTGCTTGCCAGTAATAGTTGATAGTCAAGCTGAGCTGACTGAGCAGCTAGCCTGTTCATATCAAGCTTACAAAGTCTCCGTTTCTGATTTTCTCCGAATCGCATGCAAATGTTGGCACAGACCAGTGCGTGATCTGAATCGAGGTAGATAGACCAAAATGATCTACAGTCTTGTAAGCTGCCAAGCCATCTGAAGCTGATTGCGATTTGGTCTATTTGGGACCAAACCAGGTGGCAGAGGATCTCCTTGAGTGCCTGAAGTTTGTGCTTGCGAGAAATAGGCTGTTGTCTTCGCACAAATTGAGAAGCCTGGTTCCGTTATCTGAACGACTCTCGTTCAGTGCATGATGACCACCCAGGTGATATTCACTTGGTAACAGTCGACCGACACGTGCGTTGAAGTCTCCGGCGAGGACAATGACGTCCGACTTGGCGGCTTTGCGTAATAGCTGATGAAGCTGGTGGTAAAAAAATGTCCTTGTTCAATTCAGAGTTACAATCAGTTAGCGTGTAAGCAGAAATTACAAACGGATTGCACCTTTCAGCGCGATGTCTGTTAATCCTGCATCAGCCTTGGAGGCGAACTGCACATAGTCGACTGTTAACTGGGAACCAATCAAAGAGTGCAGCCTCGGTTTTGTTGCTTAACGCCATACCAACGCCGGTCAAGCCAGCGGAGGCAACTTCTGCGTTGCCAGATAAAGGTGAGTGGTATGTGGCTTCCTGGTTGGTCGGAGACTTCAATCTGAGCACATTACTTGGGTCCTGTAATCGCGTTTCGGAAAGGCAGCAGACATCAGTAGCGAGGGAACGCAGAGTATGTGCAAGGCTGCCCTGTCGTCCAATCTGCATAAACATCCGGACATTGACGGTTACCAACCGGAACGAAGATTGGGGTCGAAGAATAGCCTCGGGCAGGATATCACGGGCAGCAGTGAAACCGGTAGCGGGGTCAATTCGAGGGAATCAGGGATTATTAACAGAAGAATGATTGGCGTGTGATGAAGATTGTGAGGCTTGAGAAGCGAAGGAGGCAGGAGCGAGAGATTTCGAAGCAGCGATGTAATCCATGGATTTTGAAGAGAGCGCGATACTACCCGGTTACCCAGGCCGAAGTAGATTCGGGTGTGTCCCGAGTACGATCTCGGACATACCA